TTGATAAAATGTGGGTAAGAGGGAGAGCTGGTGAGTGGGGCCCTTTGTGCCCTTTGAAGGCGAGGAGAGCGTCTTGTGCCTCTTTCCACAACCAGCTAGCTCAGCAGCAGTTCTCCTGCTCCGATCCTTGCCTGCTGTGCTTCTGTGACATCACAGAAAGGGGTTGCCTCGGTGGCGTCACGAGTACCTGCTGCCTCAGGGTCTCAGCCCTGAAATCTCAGGGAATCAGATGCTGCCAGGCTGACAACCCTTACTTTTGCCTTTCCAAGGTTGCCATCCTTGGCATGTGTGTGTCTATCTTGAGTTCAGATTACTCATGGCTTCTGCTCTCTTCTAGATACGCCTGGCCCAGCTGGCTCGGGAAGATGCTGAAAGAGAAGTGAAGGAAAAGGAGGAAGCTCGGCAGAAGAAGGAACTCCTCCAGAAGATGGAGAAGGCCCGAAACGAGCCCGTGAATGACTCCGACATGGTGGACAAAATGTTTGGGTTCTTGGGAACGACCAGCTCTTTGCCGGGCCAAGAAGGGCAAGCTCCCAATGGTTTTGAGGTAAGTAGAATTCCAGCAGCTCTTGATCTGTTCTTCCCACAGTATTTTCTGCTTCTGGAAATTTTATCATGTTAGAAAGGTTACTTCGCTAGCCTGGGTTTCTTCCTGCTCTTTCATCTTTGATACGGAAGCTCCTAGAGATAGATTTAGATACATCTGTGATGGTTTGCCTCCCCAGGATCTTGAGCGTGTTTCGAAGGAACTAGAAGAGGATGACCTGGACACGGCCTTGCCTCTGCCTGAGGAAGAGGAAGAAGACCTGTCGGAGTATAAATTTGCAAAGTTTGCTGCCACGTACTTCCAGGGCACGACCACGCATACCTATGTACGCCGGCCTCTCAAGCAGCCGCTCCTGTACCACGAGGATGAAGGAGACCAGCTGGTGAGTCTGTATGAAGCCCAGGAGAGAAAAGTCAGACAAGGCATGCTATATGAGTATGGGTGTGTTGTTTAGTCGTTAAGTCGTGTGACCCTGTCCAGCCATCTCATCCTCTG